TTATCTCCTGTCACACTGGCTCCTATCTCTAATGATATGGATGTCGATGTTACCTCCACCACTTCTCATATCCCTCCTATCATTGAACCTCCCACTCAAAACTCCCTTCCTTTATCTCTATCTCCCCCACCAAGCCTATCCATCGCAGATACAATCACCTTCACAAACTTACCTTTAGAAGCCTCCTACATTGTAGGCCTTTCAGCCATTATCCCTAAACCTACACGACCTTCCCCTTTTAAACACAAAACCTCTTTAAAAAACCAAATTCCTCCTCCCCAAAAACTCTCTCTAAAAACCCTTTTGCTCTCCTCTGTCCATCTGAACCCTCTTCACCCAGCTCTGATCCTCCCACCCCATCATTCAATACCCCTAATATACCTTCTTCTGACCCTGCTATTTCGTCTTCTGAGTCTCTTGAGGATCTTCTCCATCACAATGGAGAAGCTCCTGTTCCTTCCCTATGAGTAATAAAATCTTTTTTTGGAATATCCGTGGCCTAAATGACCCGGATAAGCACACCCCTTTTGTAAATTGGTTAGGCTCTCAACATGCCTCTTTTGGTGCTATTTTGGAAACTCATATCAAGGAACCTCAGTTGGACTATGTTATGAATAGAGTTTGCAGTGGATGGAGCTTTGCTTCTAACCACGCTTCTGATCCTGATGGCCGCATTATTATTATCTGGAAACACCCGGCTTCTGTCAATCTACTACACCAAACCCGACAGTCTACCTCTTGTGAAATAAGCATGGGGAACTGCCAGAAATTTGTGTTCACTGCCATCTATGCTGCTAATACAGCCCCTGAGAGATCGGAACTTTGGATTGATCTCCTAAACATTCGTCAAACTCTCAACCTTGATTCCATTCCGTGGGTTATGGGAGGAGATTTCAACCAAATTTCTCACTTCTCTGAACATTCTCTCCCCGGAGTGAACTGCTTTGATCCCCCTATGCTAGAATTCAGAGATACCCTCTCTGATCTTGGGATGTTCGATCTTCGTTGTAATGGGGCCCAGTTTACTTGGTCCAACAAATGCCCATCTTTTCCTATAGCCAAGAAACTTGATCGTGTCCTTGTAAACAGCCCCTGGTTAGCCTCCTTCTCCCAAAGCCAAGCCTCTTTCCTACCACCAAACATTTCTGACCACAGCCCTGGTATCCTTGACCTCGCTGTCACCCTCCCAACCTCTGGAACCAGACCCTTTAAATTTTTCAACTACTTAACCAAACACCCCCTTTTCTACCAGACAGTTCACGTTGCTTGGAATCAGGCCGGTGGCATCGCTTGGGACCTGTCTCACCTTTGCGTTAAACTGAAAACAATAAAGAGAGACTTGAAACAATTAAATAGAGATAATTTCTCAAATATTCAAGAGAGAGTAAGAGAGGCTAACAGTTTGCTTAATGTTGCGCAGGTAAATGCTTTGAATGATCCATCAAGTGAAAACTTTAGAGAGGAGAAAGAACTTCATGATAGATGGAACTTCCTCAGATCAATAGAAGAGAGTTACTTTCGTCAACGATCTAGAATCAACTGGTTGCGAGAGGGCGACCACAACACGAGTTTTTCCCATCGACTTACCCAACTGAGAAACTCTATCAACTCCATCAGGTCTTTCACTCTGCCTTCGGGTGAGATCATCTCTGACCCTCGCCTTATGGGAATGATAGCAGTCTCCCATTTTCAGCAGCTCCTGGCTCCTCAATCGCGTCTCATGAACCCATCCTCACCTAACTGGTTTCGTTCTCTGTCTGTCTTCCGATGTTCACAAGACCTTGCAACCTCGATGTGCTCCTTCCCATCGAAAGATGAAATCACTGACATGCTTTTTAAACTAAACCAAAACAAATCTCCAGGCCCGGATGGACTCACTTCAGGATTCTTCAAGATGGCTTGGCAAATTCTAGGACCGGAGTTCATTTCTAGCATTCAGACATTTTTTGTCTCGGGCTATCTTCCTCCAGCAGCAAACGCAACAATCCTGACACTGGTTCCAAAAAGGATAGGAGCCTCTGCAATAAGTGATTACAGGCCTGTCTCGTGTTGTAATACAATCTTCAAGGTCATCTCCAAGCTTCTTGTTAAACGCCTCAAGCCTCTCCTTCCAACGCTCATCCTCCCCAATCAAACTGCATTTGTTCAAGGAAGACTCCTGGTGGAAAACACAATTCTTGCGTCAGAAATAATCCACGGGTATCATAAAGACAAAGGACCCAAGAGAATCACCTTGAAGGTTGACATCGCGAAAGCTTTTGACACTGTCGACTGGAACTTCTTGTTTAATATGCTTATAAGCTTGGGCATCCCTCAAGAGTATATCGCCTGGTTACATCCCTGCGTTACTACCCCCTCATTCATGATAGGCTTCAATGGAACCGTTAACGGTTACTTCAGGAGTAACAGAGGCCTCAGGCAGGGTGACCCCCTCTCTCCATACCTTTTTGTGATGGCAATGAACTGCCTATCTCTACTCCTAAACAGAGCTGCTGAAAACGGGGAGTTTGGTTATCACCAAAAATGCCGAGAATCTAAACTGACTCATCTTTGCTTTGCAGACGATCTCCTTATCTTCTGTGATGGATCAATCCAATCTGTTAAATGCATCCTAAATATCCTCCACCAGTTCTCTCTGGTCTCAGGTTTATCGGTCAACATTGCTAAAACGTCACTATTTACATGTGGCCTCTCTCCCCCTGAGATAGATCATATCGCCACTGAGACTGGTCTCACTCGAGATACCCTCCCTGTCAGGTATTTAGGAGTTCCACTATGTACCAAAAAACTATCGCTCTCCAACTGCGACCCACTGATACAACAAGTGAAACAAAAAGTTAATAGTTGGACTGCTAAATCTCTGTCTTTTACTGGTAGACTGTTGCTTATAAACACAGTCATAGCTGGGATTTCCAACTTCTGGTGTTCCACTTTTTCAATTCCGAAGCAGTGTATCAAAGTTATAAACTCTCTGTGTGGAGCTTACCTTTGGAGAGGAACAACGGAAGGCCATCATTCAGCAAGGGTATCTTGGGACACAGTAACTCTATCAAAATCGGAAGGAGGTTTAGGGGTCCGGAATCTGGCCAGTTGGAACAAAGCTTGCCTGATCAAACTGATATGGCTGCTATTCTTCAAAGCGGGTTCTATATGGGTAGCGTGGTTCATCGAACAGATTCTCTCCGGTAACTTAAGCAATTTTTGGATCCTGCGAGAAAAACAATCCCACTCTTACACTGTCAAAAAGATCCTGAGAAATAGAGATATTGTTTTTGACTGGATCAAAGTTAGACTCGGGAATGGGAGGAATACCTTATTCTGGTTTGAGAATTGGAGTCCGTTTCGATGCATCAAAACTTTCCTGAATCTCCCTCCAGCATCGTCACTAAGTACCAAACTGTATGCAAATGTCTCCGACATAAATCGCCATGGCATCTGGTCCCTACCTAACCCGCGATCTGAAGAGCAGCTTACTCTCCAAACCCACCTAACTACCGTTACTCTCTCGGATGTGGAGGATTCATACTACTGGCAACCACAAGACAAGGTATTAAATTCCTACTCAACAGGCATGATTTACAACTTAATCAAAGAGCACAGACCTGTGGTTCCTTGGTTCAGAGCGGTCTGGACTCCTAGGGGAATCCCAAAGCAAAATTTCCTCACTTGGCTTGTTGTGCTCAACCGCTGCCCAACAAAAGATAGGATCCAGAGATGGGGACTTCAAACTAATCCGATGTGCATACTTTGTAACACAGCTCCTGAAACAAGAGATCATCTCTTCTTCGATTGTCCCTTTTCCTTCTCTATTTGGAATCTTTTGGCCGGGAAAACTGGATGCTTACCAGAGAGGCAATGGACTCAGTGTCTTACCAACATGCAGTCCCAAACAGCGCCCAAGCACATCAAAATCCTCTCCCTCCTCGCTTGGCAAACGACAATCTACCTCCTCTGGCATGAACGGAACGCAAGGATTCATCGTCAACTACATCGTCAACCTCACTCCATCTCCACCACTGCGATCTCACTAATCAAGAACAAGATCTCCTCTATCCGAGATACCAACCCTCGTCTCTCTTCGTTGATGATCCAACACTGGCTTTAAACGGAGAAGTGATCCGTCGTCTGATATCTCCTTCTACTACGGCAAGAGTCGATCATAAACTTCTTTTTTCCAAATTGGCCTAAAAGGCCTCTACTATCTCAAAAATGTATTGGGGTTCGCCCAAATCACACTGCCCTCGGGCCTGATCCCTATATATATATATATATATATATATATATATATATATATATATATATAAAGCCTTTTTTCAAAAAAAAAAAAATAAATAATAGTAAATTTTATTTGATTTTTAAATCTATTAAAATATACAAACCAATAAAAAAAATAACTTCTGTGGTGGTGGTAGAAAGAACCGAGCTGTTTTGTTGACAACTTAGCTAAAATAGCACCAAGTTAAAGCGGTAAGGTAAATCAATTCAATCCAGTGGAAATCAAGAAAGAAAAAATAAATCACTAGTCAATCAATCGCCTTACCTAGTCCTCTCTCCCTCGCTGCACAGAAACCAACGTCTCTCCTCTCACCGCTGCCTTTTGCCAGTCTACAGAGAGGGAGGATCCGTCGTCGCCGGTAAGTTGATTTCGTTTGCATTCTAATTCTGACTTGAACTTGTTTGCAATCCCATACACGCTTTCTCTTCCATCCATCTCTCTATTTCGATGCTGATCTGTTGTTTTTCTCCATTTTCAGTGGCGATGCTTAGTGTGTGTTTCATTAGATTTGTACCGAGTTTCTTTTAACACGCTTAGCTCTCTCTCCACGTGTCCCTGTATTTTAGAGATATAAGTTCACTCCTCTAGTTTCTGTTAAACGATCTTATCCGTCTTCACTTTTGAGATTGATTCCGAAGGTTTTACCTGTGGAAATAGCTTTACTAATTAATATCAATCTGCAGGTGATATACAAGTGCGGAGTTACTTTCAGCTTGTTTATTCTGCTAAGTGATGGATCAGGTTGGTGAAAAAGTCATTGTTGATGTTCATAGTCACTCTCTCTCAGTTCATGTGATTATAAACTAAACTAATAATGTGCAGTACGAGAAAGTTGAGAAGATTGGTGAAGGAACTTACGGTGTGGTTTATAAGGCACGTGACAAAGTGACTAATGAGACTATTGCTTTGAAGAAGATCAGGCTCGAGCAGGAGGATGAAGGTGTACCTAGCACCGCAATTCGAGAGATCTCTCTCTTGAAAGAGATGCAGCACAGCAACATTGTCAAGTATAATTAAGTTTAGTTATGTCATTGTCGCAGCATTTTGAAGCTGGTGACCAATGTTTTTTATGGTACACAGGTTGCAGGATGTCGTGCACAGCGAGAGGCGTTTGTATCTGGTCTTTGAGTATCTTGACTTGGATCTCAAGAAGCACATGGACTCCTCTCCTGATTTCTCTAAGGATCTACACATGATCAAAGTGAGTGCTAGGAAACTTTTTACGCCTTGTTTTATTTGTGTGCTGAATGCGAAGGCACTTCTTGGATACTGTGTTTGGTTGGTCTTGGTGCTGAGTATTGGCATGTCTATCTGTTTAGAATATTGTCGAAAATCTAAGTTTTATAATGTCTTCTTGTTGCGCCTTTAGTAATTAATACCAGCAGGCTGATCAGAGCTGTTCCATCTGCTGTTTGCAGACGTATCTTTACCAGATTCTCCGTGGAATCGCGTATTGCCACTCTCACAGGGTTCTCCACCGTGATTTGAAGCCACAAAATTTGTTGATTGATCGCCGCACGAACTCTCTAAAGCTCGCAGATTTTGGACTGGCCAGAGCATTCGGTATCCCAGTCAGGACATTTACCCATGAGGTACCAAAGAGCTTAATTCTTGTTTATATGTTTCATCATAAAAAGCTTTTGGCATGGCTTCAGATTCACTTCATTCCTTGTGCATCTTAGAGGAAAAAGAGTAAAACACTACTCAACTATTATCACACTTTGCATCTGATATATGTGAATTGAAGACTTAAAACTTTTCAGATAGAATTCAAAGTCTTTACTCAAAGGACATTTTCCTTGGCGGTTGAACTATGTTAGATTCAAACATACCATAAAACACTTTCACTGCTCTTCTCACATTGTTCCTTCTAGGTGGTTACTCTCTGGTACCGAGCACCAGAGATACTCCTAGGATCTCATCATTACTCTACACCCGTTGATATTTGGTCTGTGGGATGCATATTTTCCGAGATGATCACCCAAAAGCCCTTATTTCCTGGAGATTCCGAGATTGATCAACTCTTCAAGATTTTCAGGTTCCGTAACTAACTATAACTTGATCCAATTTCTACTTGTATATTTTACAAGTGGAAATAACTTGTGTGCAATGATATGACAAAGGCATCTGAAGTTTGAATCCAATTTTCTACTTGAAATCTATTTTTTTTAGAGAGTAGTAGTATAGAATACAGATATTGAAGTGTTAATTGATTATTACTCCCAATATTTTTCTGTATCTTTTTCCAGAATCATGGGAACTCCAAACGAGGATACATGGCCCGGGGTAACTTCACTGCCGGATTACAAATCTGCTTTTCCTAAATGGAAACAAACGGTACTTCAAAAATTTTCATTTCGCTTGTACATCTCGTTTTCAGTATAGACAAGAGTTCACAGCACAATGTGATTCTTGCCCATGCTTTCTTTTTTCTTATACCACAGGGCTTAGAGTCTTTTGTTCCGAATCTGGATCCCAATGGAATAGATCTCCTCTCTGTAAGTCCACTAACCATATGCATATATGTACACACAGGCATCTATATAATCTACTTCTCTTTCATTGAAGATATAGAAACCTAATTTTGAGAATTGACATTTTAGTTGATTATTAAAGTCATCATTATCTTTCCATTCAGTCTTTAGGACTAGAAACCGTTTGTACACTTAAACCCGTTAGATTTTGGCTCCTTGTATGTGCCACAGAATCAGAAGTCCAAAACCAATAACATGAACATTCTTCAATAACCGGAATCGGTTAAAGTCCTAAACCCAAAACGGGAAAGAGCAATTCTAAGATTTTATGGGTTCATGTGCAAGTAAAGATGATAATATATGTGTCTGTGTTGCAGAAAATGCTGTTAATGGATCCGACCAAAAGAATCAACGCAAGAGCTGCCTTGGAGCATGATTACTTCAAGGATCTTGGCGTTATGCCATAGAACCAGTAATCTCATTCATCCACTTTATAATTATCTTTCAATCTTTTGTTAATCCTAAGAAGACGAAGCAAAATACATGAATGGCTTTTGTTTATTCTTTTCTTCTAGTTCTTATTCTCGTTCGAAAAAATAAGATTTCGAGTGTGCTTTGTTTTAATTTGTGCTTCGAGATCATTTTCTTGTGTATCTTTTTACTAAGTTCAGGATCCTCCTAAATATGGTTTTATTTTGAAAAATGTCATATAAATTTGAATGGAAAAAAAAAGTTACAGTGCCAATGGTGAAACCTACCACTAAAAAACGAAATGTAATCATCAGAAATATAGCATGCAAAAAAGAGTGTTATCTTATGAATCTAGTAAAACAGTTAAGAAGCTGATTATACTTAAGTAGTATAACTTTTGACTATATGATTGGTTAGACTTATCTACGTTCGAGTTTAATTTGAATTATTGATAATTTTAGTGATTGAAATATGGTTAGAAGTCTATAGAAAACAAAACAAACAAGAAATCCAGTAACCGACAAAGAAAAAGATCCATCGAAGTAATTTAATAAAAACTCATTTAATTTAGACGTTTTGATTGAAATTAATAAGTTGACTAAGGAAAAGGGGAAAGGGAGGACCAAGTTAAAGTAGCCGCCGGAGAAGACAAAACACCCCCAAAAACTGGGCTTCTTTTCCAAAAACAAATTGATTAATATATTAATTGCGCAAAGACTCTTGATACCAGAAAGCCCGATCTTTTTCCTGGTATCCGATGTTCGACTCTCAGCCGCCAGATCGTCATCCCGGAGATCCGGGTCCTAGCGGCGGCGATGAGCTGATCAGAACGTACAAGGCTTGGAAAGGAGATAACGTAAGCTTCTCTTATGATTTCGTTTTCGATAGATTTAGATCTGAATCGAAAGCTTCACTCCTTTTTTGTTAGATTTATAACATTATTCTTGTTTCTCTCTCTGGGTTCATTCGAACTAATATGTTCACCTTTAGTGTCTCGCAGCTTTCTTGATTTAGAATTTGACTCCAGCTTTCTTCTTCTTCTTCTTCTTCTTCTTTTCATCTAATGATTCACCAAGCTTTACCTGGTTTTGGTTTGTTCTGTAAGAGATGCTGGTTTCCCATTTACATTACTCATCTTCCTCTCTTTTTTGTTTCCTCAGGTGTTCTGCTTTGGAGGAAGGCTTGTGTTTGGACCCGATGCACGCACTATACTCATCACCATCTTTTTGATCACAGCTCCTGTCACTATCTTCTGTGTTTTCGTTGGCAGAAAATTCATCGATGACTTCCCTCACCATAGGGGAGTATCAGTACTAGCCGTAGCTGTTGGTCTCAATTTATTAGTGAGTTGGAGAAATGTTTTCTTCTCTCTATCTCTCTGGTTACGCCTTCTGCATCTTGATACTAAATAATTTCATTCTCACTCCACAGGATCTAATATTCCTTTTCCTAACCTCGGGGAGAGACCCTGGAATTATACCGCGTAATCTGTATCCTCCCGAGCCAGAGGGTGTTGAAAGTAATGGAGAACCGCGTCTTGCTCATACTCCTACTCTCAGCCGGTTGCCTCGGACAAAGGATATGATTGTCAATGGTATCACTGTCAAGATCAAATACTGTGACACGTGCATGCTTTACAGACCACCCCGTGCTTCTCATTGCTCCATATGTGACAACTGCGTCGAGAAATTTGATCATCACTGTCCTTGGCTTGGTCAGTGCATTGGATTGGTAATGTTATCTCCTTCCTTCTTCTTTAAACCAAAGCCTCTTTTTCTTATCTTTCTGAAAACGCTCTAAATATTAAGGAAGCTTTCTGAATTTGGGCATTAGAATTAACTACTTTTATCCACTTCTGGTTTGTTAAAAATGCAGAGAAACTACAGGTTCTACTTCATGTTTGTATTGTGTTCGGCTCTTCTCTGCATTTATGTCCATGTCTTTTGCTGGATCTATGTCAAGCGGATAATGGATGGTGAGAAGATAAGCATCTGGAAATCGCTAATCAAGACTCCTGCTTCCATCGCGCTTATACTCTACTCTTTCATCTCTGTCTGGTTCGTTGGTGGGCTTACTGGTTTCCACTTGTACCTAATCAGTACCAATCAGGTAAAGCTCTTGTTTCATTACAAGACCATTTTTGGTAATGTATCTGCTTGTTAACAAATTGTTTTTTCTGTTGTGGGTTTCGCAGTCAACCTACGAAAACTTTAGGTATCGGTATGATAGACGCGAGAACCCTTTCAACAAAGGGATAGTTGGGAACTTCATGGAAGTATTCTGCACAAAGGTTGCCGTGTCTAAGAACAGTTTCAGAGCAAAGGTATCAAAGGAGCCAGCGATCCCACCAAGGATAGTAAATGGAGCCATGTCAAGCCCGAGCTTGCAGAAAGTTTCCCACGACATAGAGATGGGGAGAAAACCTGTGTGGCACGAGACAGTAGAAGATGAGCTCGACAAGGATATGGAAGCATCGGTTACATCGAGGGATTTAAGCAGAATGCTTCCACCAGAAGAATCTCGAGGGCGTGGGATTATGCATTCGAGAGCGTCGAGCAGGGGAACGAGAGGAGGTAGCTGGGAATTCTCAAGCCGTGTTAACGAAGATTTAAGAACAAGAGATGAGACTGCATCGATAAGAGTTGGTGAAGATAGCTCAGGATCTTCAAGGCAATGATGCTTCCAGATAAATTACAAAGTTTGAGATATCTGATGCAGCAACATTTAGAAGCAGAACCGGAACTGGTATAGCACGGTTATAGTCTCCGGTTTTAGCCAATTACACTATAAAAAATGATAAAAGAAAAAAGGAAGATGAATTCATTCAGGTTTGGTTGTTTGTTTACGCCATTGTAACGAGTTTGTGTAAAGTAGAAAAGTGTTTTATTTGACAAGAAAACTTTTTAAATTACTGATAAGAAACATACAGTCACAGACCAAAATACCAATTGGTACGGTAAACATTTTAGTGTTTGAAAACCAGATAGGTCGATGACTCCATTTAACCGAGAGGTTAACTGTTAGTAGTTTTTAACATAGTTTTTGGTTTTTGTTTTTGAAAAACCCAAATTTTATCCAATCAAGCTTTTGAAGAAATGGTTTTCCTAAAATGTAGGGAAACTAGTTTTTAGTTTACTTTAACTACCTATTTTCAAGTAAAAACCAAAAACCATGTTTTTGTAGTTTTTGGTTGATGATTTTACTTTTACTTCTAAAACTGTTATTTAATAAAATGAAATAGAGAATAATACTCAAAAATCAATTACAACACTAGTATATATTTGACCTGGTTGCTTAACCCAACGAAAATCATTAATCTAATCCTACGTTACTTTTGTTATACTAAACAAAACAAATCCTATAGCATCTACATCTATGCTAACATAACAAAACATTATTGTACTAAAACTATTATAATATTAGAATGTTATCATTAACTAATAATAGATTGATGTAAAGTACCAAATTAAATATATATATTATTGATGCAATATGGAAATGCCGTTTACCTATACCTAGTATATTTATATACAGGAAAGTAACACGAGTATGAATATTTTAGCTATATGCAATATGTACATGTTGTTTACCTATGCATATATAGATATTCTGGGATCAGCTCATGATGCAAAAGTGTTAGCACTAACAATGGAGGGGCCTCATCAATTTCCTACTGTACCATTCGGAAAGTATTATTTGAGAGATTCAAGTTATCCTCTTCGACCTAGATTTCTTACTCCGTATAGAGTGGAAAGATATCATCCTAGTCAATACGATAGAGCTAGTCCACCTAGTAGCTTTAAGGAATTTTGTAACAAACGATATTCTTCGCTATGGTCTGTTATTGAAAGGACTTTTGGTGTGTGGAAGGGAAAATGGCGGGTTTTAAGAGAGAAACCAAGGTACACTATACATGTTCAAAGAAGAGTTGTTGCAGCAACAACGGCGTTACATAATTTTATAAGACTATCCAATTTTGGAGATGTTGATTTTGATGCGGACTACACAACTGGTAATATACCAACTGAAGATTCTGATTCAGATGAAGACGAAGAGCATAATAATACTCAAGTAAACTATATGGAAGGCATTCAAGATCAATTTTTTGCATCTTTATGGGATTCGCGATAATTTTATTTTGTATTTGCATTTTTTAAAAATAACTTTTTAAAATAATTTTATGAAATAATTTTATGTGTGTTTTAATGATGGTATTTTATATTTATATTTTCAGAAAAAATTACTATTAATAAAATTTTCATTTTGTTAATATAAAAAAACAAAAACCAAAAGCTGAAAACCAAAATGTAAAACAACCATTCATGCTTTTTTGAAAACCAAAATCTACTACAAAATCAAAAACCAAAAACTAAAAACCAAAATCTAAAAACCAAAAACTAAAAACCAGAAACCAAAATCTAAAAACTAAGAAACAATCATCACCCGAGTCAAGGTTCTAAAACTGGATTTTAATTGGTACGGTAAACCCGGTCAAAAACTTACAAATAGTCAGAACTGGTGATCCGGTTTTATTTAAAAAACCATTTTACAGTGGTTTGTTGTACATTATAGATTGTTTCTTGTTGATCAAAAATAAAAATGATATAAGTGATATAAACTATATTGAACGAGTCAGAACAAAATTATGTGCACAGAGACGAAGAACTTAACAGAAACTTGAACTGAAAAAGTTGAACAAGAGGAATAGTGGGTATGTAAAATTTAAAAGAAATATTTGGAAAATAAAGAGACGGATGACATTAATGGAATGAAAAAAGTCAATCATGATCATCAATATTTAGGGGGTGTATTGAATAAGGGTTTTAGTATCAGTCAATTATGATCATCAATATTTAGGGGGTGTATTGAATAAGGGTTTTAGTATCAGTCAATTATGATCATCAATATTTAGGGGGTGTACTGAATAAGGGTTTTAGTAGATAGTAGAATCTTTCTCTGCGATACGCGCAGATAATGACCACCGTAAATGTACTTTATTTTGATCTTTAATTACAATGATCTATTTTTCTTATGTTTTAAAATTTATATTTATAGTTTTGGCCATTTTGATCTTAATTTTGACATTTTTTTGCTTGTTTGATGTTTTGCCATAAATAAATAATTGCTTTAATTTTTGATATTGAGAATTTTGTGTGGAGTCTAGATAAACCAAAAATATGATTTACATGACTAATTTTAGAAAGTTGTCTGTGCTTATTATGTTATAAAGGAACATTAAAAAATTTCAGGTATCAAAAAAATTTAAACTAATGTATGAGATCAATAGTTTGTGATAATATTGTAATAAATATCAAAGAGAAGACTTGTAGTTTTAATTTGCGTTGTATAAACCTTTAAAATCTTGAAGTAGCAATCAGTAATTTTAAGTTGACACAGACGTACTCGAGAACAGTTAAGTTGTGATTCATGTTGTGGCATGCGAGGGTGAAGATAATCAGGAGCATCTTCAAAATGTTGGGAGCCATAAGTAATTTAGTAATAGGTTTTTAAAAAATCACTCCGCTATGCTCAAAATCTCCGACATGCCTAAAACATAGGAAAACATCAGAAATGAAAATTTTAATAATAAACCAACTGCATATTTAATTGATAAACCGGTTTTGACAGATATAATTCAACCTAACACAACATATCACCAGTACCGGCTTAGAGGGAGTGCTGAGGGTGCTTCAGCACAGGGCCCACTCTCTTTCTATCACATTTCTTTTACTAGTTAGGGCCCTACATTTGAAAATTTGTATAATAGACTATAAATTTTAATGATCATGTACAACTTTCCCAAAATATTGATTAGGTTCAGGGTCCAATATCGAATTGAGCCGACCCTGCATATCACCAATCGAAGCCATAAGAAATAAGAACTTCTTTCAAGTTTTGTCTTTGGCTTTTCTTTGTCCATACACGAATTTGAGCCAAAAGTTATAAAAATATGAACACTTATCATCTCCTTTTAATTTATATGGTTCATCATAAAAAATATATGAGAAAAAATCATTATATTAAACTATTATTATTTGAAATATTCACGGCTGATGTTTCTCATAAAAATGAGTTTCATGGTCACTGATATACAAATTTCAGTTAGATCACTTTATTATTACAATAATGACATGATAGAAGAGTCTTCTTTATAAAATCCTCATGATTTTTGTTTTGTTTTGTTTTCTTTGTTAGTATTTTGTAGCAGTTTATATATTGATTGAGAGTGTTGTTGTTCGGCTTGTCATTTGAATGATATATCAAAAGGGTGTGAAATTGATTTTTTTTTCTTTTATTTGGATCTAACAGATAATACAATATTTTTAAAATAAGAAATTTTGCTAGATTAAAGTTTAAATAATTCATGGAAAAATATTAAATTATAATTTAATTAAAAAAATTCTACTGCAGATTCTACTTCTTTCTCTCCGTGATGATTGCTTCCGCCTTTACTCTTTTGACTGCAAGGTACGTTTTTCTAGTTTACTTGACCATTTACCAATAATGCTAGTTCTGTTTTTGTGATAAGAATTAAACATTGGTGATAGTTGGATTTTAATAGCAAGTCTCTGGATTGATTTCTCTGGCCTTTAGTTAGTGTGGTTTATTTAGATCCTTAAGCTTGAAACGGCCTTTGTTGTACAAACACATTTCAACTTTGATATGAAACGGTAGGGTGAATCGTTGTCCTGGATTAGTTCGTGAAACATGGCGAAGGCATGTGAGTTCAATTTAATTTAATTTCCTTATATATTTCATATTTAAAAATATTTAAATGAAAGACTGACTCAGTTTCTATATTTATATGATGTAATAATCTATGCTTTACCACTTCTCCAAAACACAGTTTGGGTTGCAGCTGTGATTTAGAAAGCGAGAAGCGTTTCCTTTGAAGGTAGCATCAATTGTGAAGTCTTTTTGAATCTCACACATGTAGAAGTCTTTCATTCCTTTATGCTTCATATCCCGAAGCCTTTGCTCACACTGAGCATCACTAATCATTGTGCATAGAATCAACATAATCACTAAAAACAACTATCTCTCACTCCCACCATAACCATAAGAGGCTCACACACCCAATCAACTTAGCTTTACCTTCACCGATGTATTCAACAATGAAGTCCTCTTTGTTAATGGATTCTGCTCCCTCTACTCCCCAACCACAAAGTTTGGTCTGTAAAAGTCAACAACATGACATGTAAAGAGTCAAGACAAAATATTGTATAATGCAGGAATCGGGGAAATTTTTCTTTTTTTTTCTGAAAAAAGTTTCAGATACCGTCATATGATGTGGTATTTGGTTTCATTACTTTTCACTATAAAATATCATCCAAATCCCACCAAATCCTATTTGATAGATTTTATTGACAAAATTCATATTTTTTAATAAGTTGGACTTTTGGAGAACTTATACAAATGACTAATCCAATAAGTTTGGATTTCATATAAAATTTATAAATGCTAATCGTTTGTCTAAGTACACTGTTACGTTTTGATCTCGACAACACTTTCCTATTGATTCGATTTGTTGATTGTTGTTTAAGCAATCGAAAAAGAAAATGCGATGAAAGTTTGTTTACCCAGTTCGCATACGCTACATCTGGGGGGAGGCTCTTGCTCCCAATCCACTAAGCTTATATCACAGTTTATAATACACGCTTATACAAGAATCTCTCAAACACTAACTACGATTCTTGTTGTTTCAGGAACGATCGGATCCCACGGTGAATAACTCTCACACTCGGAGACACTGGAAAGCACCTCTGCAACTCAGCACTCGCCAGAGAATTCACCGGAGAAGATGATCAAAGATTCTGTTACAACAGCTCAAGCTCTCGAGAGGAAGACGTCGAAGATATATATCTGCAACTGACAAGACGACGCCGTATTCATTTAGCCATCTTAATGGGCTCAACATTTGCCACAGGCCCAAACTGAGTTGGATCGGTTTATACACTAAAGCCCACAAATCTCCACCTTGTGTAAAGCCGACACAAACTCCTTTTTTCCGACAGCAACTTAACCCTAGCGAAGCTCTGCCGAAATGTCTTCCACTCTCTCTCTCTAAAATCTTTGACTTCTCTCTAACTTTCCGGTCACCTCGACCGATGAAAGTCCCTGAGACTTCTCCACCTTGAAGATAACACCATCTTATCAAAACCCCGACCGACGCTAACCGGAGATAGCTGAACCGACGAACCCTCTGTACTCGACTCAGATCAACCCTGTTTCCGACTCCTCTGACCTCTCAAACGCCGAAGAACTTCCGATCTAACCAACACCGTAACAGAAACTCAGGTAATCGACTCAGATCTACACATGCATGTCAAACTCTTTCGCCTTCTTCAATAGATCTGAACCTCTTCAGAATACTAATAAAGACGTTTTTTTTTTCCAGAAAAAACCAAGACCAAAACCTCAAGGTGAATCTTTCTTCAATCTTTATTCCAAAAAAAGTTCTTTTACTCTGCATGTCTTTATTAACCTCCTGTATGTTTTCTTTTCTTCCTTGCGAGACTAAGAAGAGGTCATTCACTTCAGATAACAACAAGAACATTACTTTCTGACTCGCAACTTTACCTTCTGACCCGCAACAAAGGTAAATTCCTCAACATTTACTCATTTCCTTCCAATTCATTTCAGTAGCTTAACTCAAAACCGCTTTGACTAACCCACTGTCATACTGGTTCTTGCTGCGAGGTAAAGAATCGGAGATACCCTCAACAGCCACCACCCACAAGACTTATCTGCAGAACTTGATAGACACCAGAGCCTTCTCCAATGTCTTTCCAGGTACGCACTTCGTTAGGATATCGGCTAGATTTAGGCTAGTGTGAATCTTCTCCACTGAAACACTGCCATTCGCAATAACATCTCTGATAAAATTGAACTTTCTGTGAATATGCTTAGTTCTTTCATGATATCCACCATTCTTCGCTAGAAATATTGCAGACTGAGAATCACAATTAACCTTTACTGCCCCTTGCTCAAAATCTAAATCTTCGCAAACACCTTTAAGCCACAACGCTTCCTTAGCCCCCTCAGTTAACGACATATATTCTGATTCAGTAGTTGAAAGAGCCACGATAGGTTGGAGCCAGATCTCCAACTGATAGTATTGCCACCTACTTGAAACAAATAACCCGTAACTGATCTGCTCCTGTCTCGATCAGATGCAAAATCTGCATCACAATAACCCTCGACCTTAAACTCTGTACCCTTAGTAAACCACAAACCATAGTCTGTAGTTCCTTTAACATATCTCAACACCCATTTCACAGCTTCCCAGTGTTCTCTTCCAGGATTTCCTATAAACCTGCTCACAACTCCAACAGCATGAGCAATATCTGGACGAGTTCCCACCATTGCGTACATCAAACTTCCCACAGCGCTTGCGTATGGAACATCGACCATGAAGTTTGCTTCTATTTTAGTTTCTTTCTTGTCTAGACTCTTCAATCTGAATTGAGTTCCCATAGGAGTAGTTACAGCTTTACACTCTGTCATGTTGAAGGTTGAGAGTACCTGTTCAAGGTATTTTCCCTGAGACAGCTTCAGAGTGCCATCTTTCCTGCTTCTGATTATATCCATCCCTAGAAGTCTCGTAGCAGCTCCAAGATCCTTCATCTCGAACTCACTACTCAATCTAGCTTTAAGTTCCTTGATCACTTTCATATCCTTAGATAATACCAACATATCGTCAACGTATAAAAGTAGATAAACCCTTGAAGACATTTCGGTCCCACTGATGTAAACACACTGATCATAAGGACTTCTCCTGAAACCCTGTTCATTCATGAACCCATCAAACCGCTTATTCCACTGCCTTGGAGACTGTTTAAGACCATATATAGACCTCTTCAGCAAACAAACCCAATCCTCTTTTCCTTTAGTAATAAATCCTTCAGGCTGTTCCATGTAAATTTCTTCCTCTAGAGTTCCATTAAAGAAAGCTGTCTTAACATCTAGCTGTTCCAGATGTAGATCTTCATTAACCACCAGTGATAAGATGAACCTGATAGAGACATGTTTCACAACTGGAGCAAACACTTCATTGTAGTCTATGCCTTCAACGTGTGAGTAACCCTTAGCAACCAGTCTACCCTTAAATCACGGACCCTCAACTCCTGGAATTCCTGGCTTCCTTTTGTAAACCCACTTGCAACCTATAACTCTTTTCTTAGTAGGTCGTTCCACCAGTTTCCAAGTCTCATTCTTCTCAAGTGAATCCATTTCTTCTTCACTGGCAGACCTCCACTGCTTACTCTCTTTAGACCTCATAGCTTCCTGATAGGATTTAGGTTCATCAACTTGAATATCACTCGCTATTGATAAAGCATAAGCTACAACATCAAAGTCATCATATTTGGATGGCAGCTTTGTCTCTCTCTGAGCTCTGTCTCTAGCCAATATGTAGTGATCCAAATCTTGTTCAACTTCAACCTCTTGTTCGGATACCTCTTCCTCTGGATCAGACTCTGCTCCACCTGAATCTGAAGCTTCTGACTGAGTTGAAGTCCTCGAAGTAGAAGCCTCTGAATCATGCAACCCTTTAGACGGACCCTTAACCAAATGTTGGGGTCAAAATCGGTACGACGGAATCAATAGCCAAAATTCCCCGCAAAAATACAAAAGGAATAGTTTTATAATACCGAGAAGCCGTTTTATAAAACTCGAAGCCGTTTTATAAAACTCAAAGATCGTTTTATAAAACTCAAAGATCGTTTTATAAAACTCGAGAAGCCGTTTAAAAAAACTCGAAGCCGTTTTATAAAACTCGAAGATCGTTTTATAAAACTCGAGAAGCCGTTTTATGAAACTCAAAGATCGTTTTATAAAACTCAAAGATCATTTTATAAAACTCGAGAAGCCGTTTTATAAAACTCGAAGATCGTTTTATAGAACTCGAAGATCGTTTTATAAAACTCGGGAAGCCGTTTTATAAAACTCGAGAAGCCGTTTTATAAAACTCGAAGCCGTTTTATAAAAATCGAAGATCATTTTATAAAACTCGAGAAGCCGTTTTATAAAACTCAAAGATTGTTTTATAAAACTCAAAGATCGTTTTATAAAACTCGAGAAGCCGTTTTATAAAACTCGAAGATCGTTTTATAAAACTCGAAGATCGTTTTATAAAACTCGAGAAGCCGTTTTATAAAACTCGAGAAGCCGTTTTATAAAACTCGAAGATCGTTTTACAAAACTCGAAGATCGTTTTATAAAACTCAAGAAGCCGTTTTATAAAACTCGAGAAGCCGTTTTATAAAACTCAAAGATCATTTTATAAAACTCGAGAAGCCGTTTTATAAAACTCAAAGATCGTTTTATAAAACTCGTAGATCGTTTTATAAAACTCGAGAAATCGTTTTACAAAACCGCGAAAAACCGAAAAAGCCGGAAAACGCTGGCTCACCAACTAGTTCGCCTGCTGGCGAACTAAGCCAAGCTGGCTTAGTTCGGCAGCATGCGAACTAGACGGTCCCAGACTAGTTTGCCTGCTGGCGAACTAAGCCAGCTTGGCTTAGTTCGCCAGCAGGCAAACTAGAAGCTTCCAACTAGTTCGCCTGCTGGCGAACTAAGAACCCCTTGGCTAGTTTGCCTGCTGGCGAACTAAGCGAGCCCGGCTTAGTTCGCCAGCAGGCGAACTAGAGACCTCCCAGATCTCCTGCAGCCCCGATTCGAGCCTTACGTCCTTGGACACGGTCATATTCTGAACCACGGTCGAAATGTCTCTCGTTTCGTCTCAATCCGACTTATCGTTCGAATTCTACGATAAAAACCGTAAAACTCCGTTTTCTCGAAAAGAACTCGAAGAAATCGTATAAAACGGTAACGGTCAAGTAAAACACCGAACATCGCCTAAACTATACGATTTATCCGAGATTTTTCGCTAAGATTATAAAAAACGTGTTTTTAATAAAAAACGTAGAGAAGATCGTAAAAACGGCATCGGATCAGGAAACGGTTTCGTATAAAGTCGTACAACGGTTTTTTATCGTAAAACGGCCCGGAAGGTCCTAAAACACGATAAAAACCCATCTCGCGATATTAACGAAATCAAACCCGAAGATACGATAACGTTTTGGTGGTTTACTCGCGGACAGAAGATAAAAGGCAAGTTTGAAGATAAATAGAAGATTTCCGCGGAAGAAAAGGAAGGATCGACAGAAATGGAAAGGTCCCAATATATTCGGTTTCGAGCGAAATGGAAAGACTAAAACCGCCTAAGGAGGAGTATATAAGGAGGAGGAATAGGGCAGAAGCTGGGACACGATTTTCAGAGCT